TAGAATTAGAACACGGTTTGCACCCATTAGACTCTTTTGTATGCTCAATAAAATTTTTTAATCTTTAATAAGTTCTGCACTGTTTGTCAAAATAACAATTTTCTTGTTTTAATACATAAACACATTTTTCTTATTCCTTAATTATGTTTCCCAAATAAGAAACTAAAAGCCTCCTTTTCCTTGTTGATACCTATAACTGTTACTTTTATTTTCAAGTAATCAGTATTTGGTTTTGTTACTTGTTGTTTCTTTTTAGAGGCAGGAGGTCTTGAGTCGTAGCCTCAGTTGGTCTTGGCATTGATCCACCGGCCTCAGTTCACTGAGCGCTGTGATTAGAGTGGCAAGCCATCAATGTCATATTCCTATCAATATTGTTAAAACCTTGCCTAACGCATGTTTCGAGTTAAGTAAATAAATAAACAATTCTCTCTCCATCACATTATCTCCCCTTTCTTTAGAATTACAGAGACCAACACTGAAGAACAACCCTCCATGCCATCATCGTATCTTCCTTCTGTACCAAACATAACATTGGTTAATAGTCCCTGCCACATCTCCATGGGAAAGTCTGTATTGGGCCATTATCAGGTTCAATGCAAGTGGATGTTAGTTTCCCAAAATTTCCATTTTCACTTGAAGGCTGCTTTGTGTTGAACCACTGACAACCAATTCGATCAGTCTTTTAGAGTGACAGTCTCGTGTTGGTTTCAAGAACATAACTGACAAGAACTCAAGGCTGCGTTCGTGCGGTTTTCCCGATGGTCTTTTTGAGTACACATGCTCTCTGGAAAGCATCTGCAGACTGCTCACCTTCCACCACACAGGACCTTTCCCTCCCGATCCTGCTATACTGTGTAACAGAATCACCTTTATTTGAAGTCCATGTGTGTATGTGCACCTGTGCATGTGTGCCTATGCATGTGTGTTTGCACATATGTACACACGGATGTGGAGGCCTGAGGTTTCAGTGGGGGTGTCTTCCTCAATAATACTCTACCTGTTTTCAGTAGCGTCTCTCACTGTACCTGGAGCTCACGGCTGTGACTACACTGACTGGCCAGCACGCCCAGAGATCCTCCTGTCTCTACCTCCCAGCACTGAGGTTACAGACGTGACATGGCACCCAACATTTTAATGTGAGTGGTGGGGATCTGAACTCAGGTCCTTGGGCTTACATGGCAAACATTTTAACGAACGAGTCATCTCCCCAGCCCAGGGGCACTCTTGTGTACATCCCAATTTTGTCATTGTGGTTGGTTTTAATGTCAACTTGCCACAAATCCGAGGCACCTGAGTAGGAAGCCTCACCAGAAGATTGCCTTAAGACTCACCTGATTGTGAGTAGAACCTTCTAGAAGCAGTCCACAAATGAAGGGGCAGCAGAAGATTCCTCACATTTCGGTCATCTGACTTCCCTCTTGGAGGGTTGATTTCAGTTGCTGCTGCTTCCTTCACTGATACCAAAACCAGTGTTGCCAGACTGTCTTCGTGGACTAAGGACCTGGAACCTTCCAGGTTTTAGGCCCCCAGGCTTGTGGACTGAGCAATTGCTGGATGGCTGGCCTCTCCTGGGGAAATTCAGCTGCTTCGGGGCCACTTTTCCCACAGCTGAGTCCCTGGGCCTCAGGGTTGAGCACCTACACAGTCCTCAGCTTCTTGGGTGTGATTCGGCTGTTGTTACTGTTTTAAGGTAACCTAACCTAAGAAATTTGTTATATATTAAATACAAATATATACCCACCCCATAATTCCTGTTCTCTGAAGAAACCTGACTAATACAGTCACACAGAATTAAAAGACACACAGTGATTTAATTAATCACTTTTATTGCTTTATCAAGGGCATTATTCCACAAAACTGTCCTTTTTCCTCTCCTTTGAGTGGACTCATCAAAGGAGTTTATTCTATGTGTTTGAAAAAACAACTGAGTTCATTTCAAAGGCTCTTGGAATATACCCAACCTCAAAACCATTAGTATCCCGTCAGCTACAATGTCAGTCTTAAGTCTGCCAATCAGCTCAATCACTAATTAAAAATAAAAGAAAAAAAACTTAAGTCCATGGTAGTAAAATTTTGAATATTCATAACAGCCTGAGTAGGTTGGTTATAGAATCTCTTCTTGTGCTCTAGATTGGATGATGTGGTTCTCGTTTTACACGTTAAGTGATATGGAGGACACACGTATGGCCTGATAATCAGATGTGCTAGGAGTATTCACCACTGTCCACTACTGACTCATTTCAGAAGCCTCAGTGGCACTGACTGAAAGAACCAAGGAGTAGAAAGGAACAAGGGAGGACAGTCAAGAAGCCCAAGAAGACAAATACAGGTCTCTCTCTTATTAAGGCCTGAGATGTTCTGATGGCCTCACCTCTGACTGGTTATAATTCAACTGTTTGGTCCAATGTGTTGAGAGGATAAAATCTTAGAGTCACCTCTACTCCTTCTCACACTGTGGTCCCTTGCCCATCTCCCCGTAAATCCTATCTCCAGCCACACTAAGGTGTTAAGTTAATGTGGGAGAGCCTGGGGGACCGATGGGTCCACAGTTACAGGTAGAGAAGTCACTAGGGCATAAAAGCTCACTCTGGTGTGTTGTACCCAGTCTCACATCCTGGAACACAGGAATGGGCAGGTCTGCTCCGGGAAGACTGATTGGGTTTCTCTTCTTTGCTTTTCCTGATTGGTCTTCTGTGAATGAGCAACTGGGGTCCAGATCTACAGACCTGGTCATTTTCATGACCTCTTTCTTGGTCAAGTACCAAGATTCAGGTTCCAAGATTCAGGACAAGGTAATGGAGAGGCAACAAAACATCCTCTTTGGGTTTCAGGTCTGAACTGCACTCATCCATCAAGCAGGAAGGTTTGTTAGGGTTTGTCACCTGCTATCTTGGGACCAGTTCAGTGTTCATTTGAAGCTGTGTGCGAAACTATCAGAAATCCTATAGGGGTAACCAAGAATATACTGGGAATTCAGTAGCTATTTGTTCAGGTTTTTTTCATTAGTGTGTGTGTGTGTGTGTGTGTGTGTGTAAAAGAGGGAGTAAGGGGGATATGGATATTTGTAAAGGTGTCCTTGGAAGACATTGGATTCCCTGGAGGTGGAGTTACAGTCTGTCAAACATGGGTGCTGAGAACTGGACTTCCTCTGCCAGCATTCTCATCACTGAGCCATCTTGGTAGCCTCCTAGTCCCTGGGTTCAGTACCAACATAGAATCAGAACGCCTTTCCCGGAACCCTTCCCCTTCTTTCTCTCATGCCCTACATCATTACATTGCCCATCACAATGCCGATTTCACAGCAGTCAATAAATATATACTAAATAACAATCAAGAACAAGGAGGCATCTCCCTAAAACTATCATCTATCGATCTTCTTAGTGAACAAATTTTAGTAACAGTCTTCACAAATGGCTACAGACAACAGTATTTATATAAAGTGTGAACATTTGCTTATCTAATCATCCCAACTGTTACACAGGGTTAGCTAGTACAGTGGGTATATGGCAGAATAGGTAGAAAGACCAAGTAATGTGAACAAGATAATAAAGGTAATACATTGCAGAGTGTCAACTCAGTCTATATTTTCTTACTCTAGTACCATAATGCATAATTTCATATCCCCTGAATTTTTCCAATACTTTTGGTAATATAATTTATTATTTTAGTATAGGTACTATACCATATAGTATATATTTATTGTATTATATAGAGTGCATATATGTTGATAATACAATATGCAATAAAGATACACACTAATAATAAAAATTTTAAAAACAAAAAAATTTAAAGAACCATAAGAATGTTTTATAAAAATATTCAAGACTGCAAAGTTTTCTGTAACATAAACTAATCACTGCTGTTCTTTGAACCTCCCCACACATACTTTGATGATTCCAAGATGCATTACTTGGGCAGAATTGTGCCTATCCTGCTCTAGGGTAATCAGCTTACTCTACACTGGTGCCGCGGACAATATGTTAAATTTTAATGTCAAATATTAGGCATTTGCCAAGTGTGGTGGTGCACACCTTTAATCCCAGCACTTGGGATTAAAGTAATGTAATTTGAAGCCAGGCAAATCTACAAAGAGAGTTCTAGGCCAGTCAGAGATAAATAGTAAGACCCTGGTTTGTTTTTTGTGTTTTTTTTAATGAATAAACACCATATATATAGAGAGAGGTAGGGCCTTTGGGAAGTAAGTAGGGAATGAGTGGACCAGTGCTGTCATAGAATTAACCTCAGAGAACTCGCTCACCTAGTGTCACGTGACTCACAGCAAGAGGACAGCTGTCTGTGAACCAAGACATCCCTGACTGGACACCAATGGGACCACCACCTGCATTTCCCAGCCTCCAAAAACATAAGAAGTAAATCTGTGTTATTTGTAAGACACCAAGCCTGTGGTATTCTATAAAACAACCAAGAGAGACTAAGACAGAACTTGGTATCGGAAGCGGGGTGCTGCCGTACAAGAACCCCAAGTGAGTTAAGTCTTGGAACTGGGGAAAGGGAAAACTAGACGAGATCCCTGATTGTATTTAGCCGGAACTGTACCATAATGTCTTAGAAAACTACATAATATCACTGAGGTTTTTCCAAGTTCAGGTCTGTCCTACCCTGTGTTCTGTAGACACTGAGCTGGCTTTCCTATGTGTAACATATAACGGACAACTGGGAAAATGACACTCGTTTTCACTTGTTCTTCTGAGCAACATACTAAGCATCCAGTTACTAAGGATAATAATGGCCCTGACAGATATTCTAACTACGAGAAGTCAGTCCTTAAGGCAACAGGAATTTAGGTTCTAAAACTTTAGATTTGTTACATGACCAAAGACAAAGTTGTCTCCATTTTCAGGAGCAGAAGTAAAGGCAACTGGCAAAGACTAGAAATCATATTCATAAAAATTCTGGTAGGTTTTCTGTCTACTTCACCATACTGCTTTGAAACTTTGTCCTTGTGAACAATCTAAGTAAAATACACTGAGGCACTGAAGCGACTCTTGCATTGCGTTTATTGCGACCCCTTGGGGCAGCTCACAGAGAGAAGTGTGGCATGTTAGCACAGACATAGGCAAAGTACAAAGGCATTCAGAAGGCAGCTCTTATTTAGAGCAGAGGCCTGCTATATGAGGAGACATTTCTTACACAATTGTCAGAAGCAAGAAGGCATCTTATTAAGAAAAACCTAAAGACAGAGGAGGCACATGCTAAGTATCAAAAATTAGTCTCAAAGCATTTAAGTATCAAATCTATGGGTATGTAAGAGTTCTATAGTACCATATAGAAATTTTATTTTCATTGAAATGTACTCCAGTAAAAATATTTTTATTAATTCTTTGAGAACTTCAAACAATGTGTTTTGATAATATTTACCCACAAGTCCTGTCTGTATATTTTCCCAAATACACCTGACCTATGTCCTACAATGTCATTTCTTTTTTTTTTTTTAATAACCCAGAGAATCCAATTAGTGCTATCCATACATTCCTGGGTATGGGGTGAGCCACATGAGCATGGCTAACCTACCAGGAGCTATACCATTGAAGAAAAATGACTCTCCCTTCCCCAGAATACATCTACTGTCCACAGCTCCTTGGTTGTTGGTCAGGGCTCAAGAATCCATTCCCACGCCAGGCTAGAATGACGGCTTGATCCTGTGCTGGCAACCAGAGCTTCTGCGAGCTCATGAATGCAGCAGGCCGTAATATCCAGAGGACATCGTTTCACTCCAGTCCTCCCTGACCTCCACTTCTTACACGGTTTCTGCCTCCTCTTCCTCAATGGTCCCTGAGCCTTGGGGAGGGGTGTGAGGTACATGTCCCATTTGGAGCTGAGCTCTCCCCTGACACGCATTCTCTGCACTTTGACCAGCTGTGGCTTTCTGCTCTAACTACTACCCACTGCACAAAGAAATGTCTCTTGGTGTCTGACAGCTAGAATAATCTCCAGTCACAGGGCTATGAGCTCAACCGGAAGTTTTACATGAGTGAAGATGCTATGGAGCAAGATGGCAGGAAATAAACAAGAGTGGCATTTATATCATGATGGAAACTAATTGGACTTAAGAACCTCATGCCAACGTTCCATGTCTGGAGAGTCACTGAATCGAGAGAAGAACTCACAACTCTCATCTTTCTAGACCAAGACAGTTTCTAACTGTATTCTAACTTTTACTCTGATACCCACAGATAATGGTAATTCTCATCATTGGTTGGGGGAGCTCATCATAGAAGGCTACTCTAGAGATCCATGAAGGTCAAAATACAGAGAATAAGTGAACGTGGGTTATCCGGTCCTGATAAGTACATGTGCAACACGACACTGAGCAGGGAAAGCGTACACAGACTCCTACCCACTAACCTAGAAGCTATGTTTAATTTACAACTGCTGGCAAAGGAAAAATTAGCTTTTTCCAATGCAATCTCACTATTCAATGCAATCTCACTATTCAATGAATCTCACTATTCATATCAACCACACTTCAGGGTAGGTCCCATGCCCAGGACTAGCTGGCCATCACAACACAAACTCAATGACATTTCTGTACACCTTTTGTCTCATTTTGCTTTGTATAGACTTTTTTGTCTTGTTAGTATTTTGCTTGTATATTTTGTTTTCAGTTTTGTGAGTATGTATAATATTAATAATTATAAACAAATAAGCCAAGAATTTGAAAGTGAGTGAAGGGAAGAAATTAAGGGACTGACAAAAAAACAGTGGAAATGATATAAATGCAGTATACACATATATGAAATTCTAGAAAAAAAATAATTTGTTACAAAAATGAAATAAATTCTGCTTATACCTATAACAGAACCTGAGTTGAAGAGATTTCCATTTACAGTGGGCAGCAGTCACTCGAGAGCTGCACAGCTGGCCAGCAGGCTAAATTAAAAAGCTGAGTGCTCAGCCATAAATGGGACATCTATCTCCAACACCTGTCCCCGGTCAAGGTTTGGGAAACACTGAGGAAAAGGGGCTAGAAAGGATGCAGAAGCCAGGAGGCAGGAAGGAGTGTGGTGAAATGCTGTCCTCTGGACACGGTCATGCTATCACACAGATGAACTCACAGCAGCCCATGTTACCTGGACAAGACCAGCATTAGATCACGTCAGTCAAAGTCCCTGCAAAAGTGGGGAAGATGATCTCCAGGCTATTTACAGAGGAGCTATTTCCAAGGGAGAATGTGGCCACTGCCAGTGCTCCTCTGAGCCAGTGTATGGCCCCTCGCATGTGCACATATGAGCAGAACTGACTAGATTTCGTGTGTTCTAATGTATTTTTAAAAGACAAAGTTGGGAGGAGTGGACATTGCAGGGACATTGGGAAAGGTGGAGGGAGAATCATGCTCATCACACATGCATCATATTTGAAGTTCTCACAAGGTTAATAACTGCCTGAAATATTGAGATTTAAGACACACATGAAATATTCAGTATTTGTTTTAGACATTTATGGAGGGAAGGTAAAGCTACTACATTATTTTTTCAAAGGCATAAATCCTTTCGTAGACCATTTCTGAGGATTCAGAAAGAATTCCACTTCATCCAGTATACACTTTAAAGTCTGACCTTACACCAATAACCCCTTTCAGACCTCGCTGCTTTGACGTTATTACATAAAATGGTAGAAAATCCCTTTCGGTCCTGTGTAAAATACATATGCTCCATTCTCCAAAGAAAATACTTCTCTTGAAAAACACACATCAGTGCCAGTTTATTCCCACATTAGTAAAAAGCACCTATAAAATTAAACATCTTAAATTTTCATGAGGAATTAGAGAATGTTACATCCTCAAAGATAAGTTCAGTCACTTCTTCAGATCTAAAACCCAAAGTCCAGGGAGGTTAAGAAACTTGCCTAAAATCATATTGAATTCAGGACAGCCAGGGTTGTTACAAAGGGAAACCCTGTCTTAAAAAACAAAAACAAACAAACAAAATTATGTTGAATTAGTGATAGACGTAGAGTTGAGGAGAATCTCTCCACAGATGGGTCCTCCCACCAGCAAGGGGACCCTACTACTCATCAAGAATGTGCTGTTTGGGGCTGGAGAGATGGCTCAGAGGTTAAGAGCACTGTCTGCTCTTCCAGAGGTCCTGAGTTCAATTCCCAGTAACCACATGGTGGCTCGCAACCATCTGTAATGAGATCTGGTGCCCTCATCTGACCTGCAGGCATACAAGCAGGTATACCACTGTGTATATATAATAAATAAATCTTAAAAAAAAAAAAGACTATGCTGCTTTTTCTCCTCATTTCTTACAGTCTGGCTGCCACAGTTCGAGAGCAATGGTGTATGTATTTCCACAGTTAAGAACACAGGCGTCAACACAACCGTTATCAACAGGCTTTTAAGTAGACCAGCAGTCTCCTTACCATCTAATGGACTGAAAGCCGGTGTTGTTTTTCTTTGTTTTCAGAAAGCACCAGTAGGTAACCAGACAATACGGCTGAACATTCTCTGACCGCATTAGAAACCAGCAATACTCAACAGCAGACGGCCTGCCTATGATGATAGGATGTATACATTGTGCTAATGATAATCAGATTCACCCCAGAGGAGAGCCCAGGGCATTCACTTCCATCACCTGGACCAAAACAAATGGCTGTTTGCCGTGAACCGAACATCTCTTCCTCTCCCGCTCCACAGTATAAGAAACAATTAGTGACATCTCACGGATAGAACAACTAGGAGGAGACACAACTTTAGAGAAAATTGCACTTCAGAGAGAAATCAGAGGAGGCCACGAAATCAGAGGGTGAAGAGAATATAGGCAGACTAGTTGAAAGGACATCGAAGTGGGCGCGAGACAGCCCAAGACCAAGTTCAGCATGAAGGAGATTTACTTTACCCAGAGAGACAAAGGACAGGAAACAAGAGACAAGGACAGAGGATGAGAGGGAAGAGACATTTGCCACAGCGGGACAGACTGCCTCTCAATAGAGAGGAGACCCATAGGTAAGACGGTTTCTTTATAAAGAAAAAGGGGGGACACCTATGTTAGAACGAGATGTTTAACTTTGATTGAGCATGTTAATTAGGGCAGCCAAAAGGAGACTTTTGATTGTTGGACTTTAAAAGCTTCGATAACTGCGCCTTGGTGGTCATCCTCAGGGGCGTGATGTGGCCAAATAAGGGAACAGACCTTGGCAGCTAGCTTTACAAACATACCCTAACAGCTTAGCAAGACAGAGGGAATGGGGGAAGGGCCAGGCCTGTCTGAGCCATGTGTGCCATGCTCGGGCCAACTAGAGCCCCTTGGCTAGTGAGGTGGCTTGGGGGTGTAAGACGAAGGAAGATGTGTCCTTTGGACTGGGAGGACAGAGATGCCTAACACAGCTTTTCTTACCCCCATCCCTGAGAACAGATGGAATCTCTCATTGCCAAGTTCTAATGCGCTTCATTCATTCTCCGCACCAAGAAACCGGGCTTGCCAAACACCAATGAGCTGCTGACAGGGAGGTGAGTATCACCCTTCCACAGCTAGATCTGCAGCCAGGAGAGCACTTGACCTTGGGTCAGTCTCCACAGAAGACAGCGAGCACATGGGTCCAAACACAGAGACCGAAGGCAACCAATGTCCACTCAAAAAAGTCTAATATCCTTTTTTTTTAAGTATAAAAATATAGAGGCAACCTCTAAAAGTAATTCATGGCTATTATTTGACAGGGCTCTTTGTGAGAACAGCTACAATTAATTCTTGCTCTAAAGGATACTCAACGGAATAGCTATTATCTCCAAATATTAAGGCATCCAAGAAAATTCATCTAATTGGGTCATTCTAGTACTGTGTAAAACTAGTCCTTGAAGACCAGGGCCCAAAACTCTTCAGACGAAAAGTTTTGATTCCTATCCACCAGCCACCTTAGGGCCTGGGCTTCTCTCTTAGACTGCTGAAAGCTGGGGAGCCACAGCTCTCTCAACGATCTCCCACGCAGGGCTGGAGCGGCTGGGGATGAGAAGGCGAACAGGCTTGGCTCCGGGCAACTCAGGTGGCTAGCATCTGCCCTCCATTGTCTGGGTGGTAAGCCCTGCATTGAGAGAAGGAGAAAAGGAATTTAAAACATACAGGAAGGAAATGCAGTCCCCATAGTCCCACCACCAATAGGGGGACACAGCACACTTTCCATAATGCAAAGTCTTTCCCTCCAGTCTCGGCAGTTATATGGTTGAAGTGTGCATGGGGAAAGTATGATATTTATTGAGACTGTACCATGCATGGGACACTACCAGGTCCTAGCTGAGGTAGTCTCACTTAATTCTCCTGGCAATCAAATGAAACAAATACAACCACCATATTTTATAGAGACCGGAAGTGGCATTCTAAGTACAGTCCCAAAACAATGTATCAGCACCCCTAAGATGGATCCCAGTTCCTCCCAGAGTCCTCTTTCCTCTCCTGCTTGTTGACTTATTTAAATACTTTTCTCCTGTAGGTCAATGCCCATATCCTCCTCTGCACAGGAAAGCCTTTTAATGTGATTAATATAGTTCTTGATATTTTGATTTAATGTTACTTTTCTATTGCTGTAACAAAACCCCATGATAAAGGCTACTTATAGAGAAAGAACTGTTTAATTGGGTTTATAGTTCCAGAGGGTTACAGTCTTTGATTGTAGAGTAAAGAAGCAGCAAGAGGAACAGCTGAATGCTCACATCCTCACCTACAAGTAGGAGGCAGAGAGGACACACTGGGAATGGAGTGATTCTTTTGATACCCCAAAGCCTATCCCCAGTGACACACCTCCTCCAATAATGTCATGCCTCCTAATTATTCCCAAATAATTCCACCAACTGGGGACCAAGTAATTATATGTTTTTCCCTCCCAAACATCTCCCCACACAGACATGAAACTTCATGTCCTTTCTGGCTCTTAAAAAAAAATCGCAAATAGGCACATAGCCTCCTTGCCTATTCTGCAATACACAACCCCAGGATCCCCCGACCCCTCCTGCCAAAAACAAACAAACCAACCAACAAACAGAAAGCCTAAATGGAGCTGAAAAGACTCAGTTATCCTTAAGGGACTGGCCACTGGGAGCTTGATCATGTTTCAATGAGTATATAGACAACACAAATTGGATTGATGTATTTTTTTTCTTTTTATGTTTTTGGGGGGAAGGGAACACAAAGGCGGGGGAGTGACGGGGGGGACGAGAAGCGAGTGTGATTGGGGTGAATTATATGAAATTCCTAAATAATCAATAAAAATATTATATTGAGCAAAAAACTAAACAGCCTGATTTGTGTTGGTCAATGACTCCTGGGCATGCAACCCGCCCTGGAGTGTGGCTGACATACAACTCTGCTAGAGAAAGGTGATTTTCTCTCTTCCTCCAGCTATCAATTCCAAATAGCTGGAGAGATTTAAAAAAAAAGTTTCTCTACAGTGAAATATGCCTGAAATCTGTAATTCACTTAGTAGCGATGTACCAATAGTAATTTCTTAGTATTGATACATGTATAGTGGGTATATAAAATGTTAGCATTAGGAAAAGCTAGGTAAAGAGTTTAAAGGATTTACAGACAGCAGCTTTTCATTGAAACGCTTCTGTGAATAAAACTCGTTCAAGAGAAACATTGTTAAAGGCAATGGCAAAATACCTTAAAATTTCCGGAAAAACTGATGTTTCCATAGTTCATATTCGGCTAAGCTATGTCATACACATTAGAGAATAATGAAGATGCCCCACATACTTGTCAGGAAGCCACTGGAGGCTGTGATAAACCAAACCGAGGGGGCAAACCGAGATAACAAAGCAGTGTCAACACAGGAAAGGACGGAATTCCTACGAGGCCATGGAAGCTACCGCGGGCTGACACGCCACATCGCCACAATCAGTGCCGGAAGCGACGGTGCCCACAACACGATTGTGAAGGGTGGTTTTGTCTTAAAATGTGTAGGATTATTTGATGCTTTCACCTATAGGCAGAAGAATCTTTTCCTAAAAATAAGTTGTTTGGCATAAAAATAACAGTAATGTATCAGGTTTATAATTAGTATAATCCTAATCTATCTCAAAGTTAGAAAGCAGAGCAGTAGACCAAACTTAGAAATAGAATAGCAATTTTGATGCTACCCATGGTTAGGTCGATATTCTTTATTTTCTTTAAGCTGCCCATAGGAAACGTAGGCGAAGACACTGGGGTGCCTACTCTGAGGGAGAAAGGGGACAGGGGTGAACAGCTTGTTTTAACATCTGACATGACCATCAAGGGAAGTCTGAATTAGTTTACTTGGGAAGGCAAGCCCTCCCAACCCTCCTTATCTTAAGTTTGGTTTCTACTAGTTTTGGCAATGTTACTGGCGCACCACATCTGTCTCCAGTGAGACTTGCCCTAACCTTGGTGCTTTCCCAGCACTAAGCATCTGCTTAGACAAAGAACTAGAGACCAGAAGGGAAAGTGGGGGGCTTTTAACAAAAGTACAGGGAGGGAGATCGGAGCTTTGGAATAAGGGGCAAAGGCAGACAAAAGGGGTGGGGGACAGTCACATTGTGTCTCTGACTTTTAGCTGAGGCTTTTATTAGAGTAGACACGAAAACTGCACTTCCCTCCCTCGGACCAGGCGAGGAAGAAAACAGTCATCACTGTGTTTCTGGCGGTTTTAAACTTTGTGTCAGTTAAATGCTTGGACCCTAAGATTCAAGATGCGTGTGTGAGAGAGGAGACAGCTAGCTGAATTTACTAGCTGGGTTCACCTGTTAGCTTGTGCCAGCCATGCGGCGAGAAGAGCCAGAAGAGCACCTACTGCTTTCAGTTTACCTTTTAGTTTTAAGGCCAGTTCGAGAACCCACGTTTCTCTTTTGACTTCTTTTTTAACTAAGCCGTAACACACACTTTAAAGGCTGTTTTCTGAAATGTTAGCAACTGAACGTTGTAAGTTGCCATTTTGACAATCAGCTGTCTTTCCCAAATCCCTAACTCTTGGCCCACCCTCACAACACCTCACCAAGAGTTCTTAACCGAGACATTTCCGAGCACAGAGACTCAAACTGCAGGCTGTGAAGAAATGCTCAGACTTAGACTCCAAAGTGGGGTTGCTTTGACCACGCATTGGGTTGGGGTACCCCTGGGCAGGAGATAAAGAGATTCCACAAAAAGATACCAAAGTGAAAATCAGAAACAGTGGTTCACATTCTCAGCAGTGGAAGCACCAGAGACAAGTAGTTAAGAACTGACCACCGAGGGGCAACTTGGGATGCATACAAAACACCACACACCTGTCCCGACTGATGGAGGATAAGCTAAGCTGTCTTTAAAAAGTCGTGGAATCACTGGTACTGGGAATGCGCTGGACACAAGGACAGTCTGAACCATCAGCCAGCTAGTAACTGTATTGGCCCTGTCTGGGAGTCGTCCTCCATCAGACCCTCCACAGATGTTTACATGAGGCCATCAGCAATAAAAAGCATTCTTCTGCCACTCAAGAGAAGGGTCTACTGAAGGCTGTAGTGTTAAGTTCCATCTGCAGGTAACACTACAGAGAGAAGAGACGTAAGAAATGTACTGTGCCTGCCTAAGGTTCTACCAGGAACCTTTCACAACAAGATCTGAAGTGTGTTTGATGAAACAGCTATGGCATTTTTAGAAATAACTAACTTTCCGCACCTCCTTCCAGCTGAGGCTTTGAGTAGAAAAACCAGCTGTTTCGAAAATACGGTTTTCAAAGACTGTGCTTCCAAAGAGAATACGCCTCCTAGGCCAAGAAAGAGATTCCGAGTTCTACGATTCTGAACTCTTCCAGTCTGTTAGGAGCTGAACTCCAAGAACAAGAATCCCTTTCCAGGAAAGGAAGTGTGAACTGTAGCATTGGGCACTAGACAAGAAAGGGGCGGCAACCACACAGGTAATGAGGAATCGGCCATCATTCCCCCAAATTCCAAAAGGTCAAGAATGGTCTCCATACAGTGTGGGACAGCGGGGAGGGCCCAGTGCAAATAAAGCTCATTGTTCTTCTCTGTGAGCTTCCATGAAACACCAAGGAGGAATGAAAACACAGAGCAGAAAACACAGAGAAGAAAACACGGAGAGTCCCCCTCTTTGGTACAATGTAAGAACGGTGAGCATTCAAGAATCCCAGGTTCTTTTCTCATAAGGAAAACCATCTAGTGTCACTAAGTGATTCTAAGAAACTCCTTCATCTCCTAGATCTACCTCCATGGGGAAAACAAAACCAAAAAAAATCATCTTTCTAATGGTTGTGGAAAGTCTAGAACTAATTTTGTGACCAGCAGGCCACAGTGATACTAAAAGTCACCTGCTATTGGTGAGGGACATGGAATTCTCCCATCCAAATTGCCCAGAAATATAAAGTATAATCTGTCATGGGAATGAGAATCATGAAAATCTATATAGCTTTACTCCTAGATGGAGGAAATCAGAGCCACCACATTATAATCCACAGCAGCAGTCTACTATATGGCAAGAGGAAAAACATCGAAGCCTGTGGCAAAATAAAAGCAAACAACAATGGTAGAAGAGCTGCTCAGTGGTGGAGTACTTGTCTAATACATACAAAAGCCAGAGGGTGATCTGTAGCACGGGGGGGGGGCGGGGGGGGGGGAGGAACGAACACAAAAGCAAAATCCAGCTCCACTCTCAACTAGACTGATGGAAGCCAGGCGGTGACAGAAGCATGTCCACGTTCAAATACTAATGTTAGACGACCTCCATATCTGTCCTGTTGCTTGCAGCACCAACAATCAGTCAGGGACCGTGGGACACATGAAAAGTAAGACAGTAGCTAAGTAAGCGTTATCAAGAGAAAAGGAAATGAATGGAAACAAACCCAGAGATGACTCGGAAATTGACAGCCTCAGGGAGGGCATTTACGATGATGGCCAGTAACATGCTAAAAGCACAGTGGATGCTGGGGAAGGTAGGAGAGCACTATGGTGATTTTATTGAGAAATAAAACATGAGTCAAATGGAAGTAAGTTTCGGTAGTCACAGGGATGTTCTATGATTTAATTTTTTAAACAAGTATTTGCTTAGGGACGGTAGGGGATGCCATAGTGTACACGTGGG